ATTAGGAACGCTGCAAAAAATATAAATAAAATTTTTTCAACAGTTTGTGCAACTGTTCAAGTTTTACGGAGAAGTGGCGTTGCCGAAAGTCTACTGCTGAACGTTTTCTGTTCCAAAATTCTAGCAGCTTCTCGCAGAGAATAATTTTTTTGGAGCCTTGTATAAACACTTGCTTTTTACTTGAAGCTTTAGAAATAAGCAAAATGAAAAATACCATATATTAATTACCTCTTCCGTTCTTGTTTGCTACTTACAACTGACTGAATTTATGTAAGAATCACTCCAAAAATGTCGCACGCTTTTTTTTTTAGCAATTTTCAAATTTGTATAGATTATACGTCCGACTTGCGAATTTGTAGAAAAGCGAAACTCATTGCTCTCTCACGCTGTACAGAAAAGTGATAAAGTCTCAAAGTAACGAATACTTGCGCTTTTTAAACAAAAGCGATGTGCCTAAAAAATGTAAAACCGTAACCCTTAACGACGGATTAACAAAAAAATTTGGAAAGACGGTCAAATACAACGTGTAATACGATGTCAAACAATTTATAAAAACCTTTGCTTGTGCTATATCAATAAAGTTCAATCGTATTACATCAAGCCAATTAGGCCACTTTGCTTTGTCCTCATTACTCTTTTTTGCTTTTATTTTATTTTTAAGATGTGCCCTTGGTGCCTCTCTGCCAAAAATTGTTTCTAATATTTAATTTAGCAAAAATATTTTATAAAAAGCGGGAAGTTGAGTAATACAAACATCTGTTTACCTCAAAGAAGAAGTATGAATAACAGAGAATAAACACTGCCAGCTCAGCAGAAGTAAACTAAACCAACCTACAAACACTTCGACAAAAAATTACAGGTGTTCGTACAACGGGCAATACGGAACTGCAAACAACCTCAACTACTCTCAGATGGCAACGCTTATGCAAAGAAAAGAGAAACTGAAAATTTTTTTTCCTGACCAACCTCAGCACGGGGTTTCGATAAATTTAATCGACTCTAGAGTGAAAACGCCGCAACACAGACTAGCCGTTTGTCCACCACCACTTTCGCAATTTGCTGTGTGGGCCATTCTGCCGAGGTTTTTTGAGGTCTGTGCCAAGTCATCATAAACTTTTACAGAATACTTGCACAAGGCGAAGATCTTGATTCAAACCTGTTTCTGCTGCAAATATGCTGCAAATACTTCAATTTTAAAAATCGGAAACTTTTTATACTGCTTTTTAAACGATTTTAATAAACATGGTCAACAACAGATGTGGATCAACCATGGGGCGACAAAATTTATTTTCTATCAGCAGACCGTGTCGAAGGAGGTGGATGCACTTATCAGGATGTACGAACACGACAAGACCATTGAGATTGAAAGAGTACCGTGGGGCACAATTCCATTATCCGAAAACACCACCGAAGAAGAAGACCCAAATAAGGAAATATTTCGAGCAGAGGTAAATCACTTTCTTTAGACTACATTTTTAGTGTTTGGCAAATCAGAACTAAAAATTCAAGTAAAAAATAACATACTATCTAAATTTTATTAGCAAGTAATGGTTTGGAATGACTGCATTCTTCGCTCAAGAGGAAAAACGGAATATCTTGCTTTAGCTGACTTTGACGAGGTTTTCGTCTTGTACACCAGTCAGTCATTTCTCTCATTTCTTGACAGTTTGCTGAAGAGAAAACCAAGTGTGGGATCTTTCTTGTTCTTGAGTGCTACAGTC